CTTACTGTTTTCTTATAATACTAACAGATAAATTATTTATGCCCGGTTTCTGAAGGCGTCGGTTATGTTTAAAATAGTTGTTGGTTCAATAAAGTTATCAATAAGATAAACGTCGGTTAACTGTCACTGCGTTTCTGAATACACAACGAGCCGTTCAATAACTATGTTAAGGATAGTAAGTTCCTTAATTTGCCAATAGATGGGTCTTTTAAGGATAACAACTAAATTTTGATTTTATTTATTCTATTTCAGCTTTATTACATGTTTATTAGGTAAATAATTTTTTTTTAAGTTTTAAGTTACCAAATACTGTTTCATTTAACATATAATGATAATTTGTTATTTAGCATTGGTTGTATTGAACACCGTCTCAGTGTCAATTAGAAAAAAAAGAAACGACAAACAGACATTGTTGTCGGTTGCTTTGAAAAACGAAAACGATATCTTAAAGTAAATTTTTCATCAGTAAACATTTCTAAAGGATTTCTTCTTTGTCTTAAGTTTCTGGGTACAGAAATACAAGAAATAAACTCTAGTACTTCCATATCGGACTCAGATGAACTGCTTGTATTTAATATGCTCCTATTCATTGCTCTTCCTTAATTAGCAACTAAAGCAACTTTTACTTATTGAAATAGTTTTGAAATTTACCACAAAAATTGTATTGGTTGACATACGAAACGTGAAATAAAGTTATGGAACTGATAAACGGCACCAAATGGCGAGTTAAGATAGCTTTAGTTTAAGCGGAGTTTATCTAACAATGCAATGCTCAGAAACGTACTTGTAAGAGTTATCGAACCAATAGCGCTATCGAATCGATAAACTGCCGTTAACTGTACCTCAGAAACCGGGCATTAATGGTTGAATGACGCATGAATTTAATAATAGAATAAAAATGTACAAAACTACCATATTGAAAACAAATATCAAACGAGAATAAAATAAAAGATTTAGCTCAGAAAACATCCTTAGTATAAAAGATAAGAATAATCTATAAACCTTTTAAGAATGCTGGTTACCTGTAATTGGCGACTGTATAAGGCCAAAACCTATGTTATCATTGTTTTATTTAATTTGCTATAAGTATACAGAAGCTGTTGGTGTACCTTTTTTAGATAAATAAATAAATAAATAAATTATAGCACTTTTATAGACCGAATCCTTCTTTAAAGACATGTTTTTAAATACCTAAGGAGTTTCGCTTTGTCAATTTCCAATCGAATATTCATTTTCTGATTTTACTACCTAATCCCATATAAAGTTTAAAAAAAGAACACGAAATGGTCTATTCTTTTACATCAACAATGAGTTTAAATATATACTTTTTTCCAAATCAACGTTGAAAATTTTCTCGAAATTCTTCGCAGAGATCCAAGTAATATTTAAGCTGTGCATTATGGGATGGCCGTTAGCCGAGGCACAAATATTGGAGTCGATTACCATAAACCACGATAAAGCCGAGATGTCTGAATAAAGAAAACAGAGTAATAACATAATTCGCCGTTCGGATCACTGCTGGTATAAAGATAGGACGCCTCGCTATTGGTCGGATTCTTTGCTAGGGAAATTTTTCCGATGCCGTTTATTTAGGAATCGCGTATTGGTATTCCAGTAAAGATTTTTGTGACTGACTGGGTTCGTAAATAAACATTTACGAGACAGAAACTACGATTCTTTATCTAACAATCCGTCAGTAGGTAGCATCACTAAGTTTTAAGTTGGTCCTATGTTTTTTATAGTGTTCTCTAAAGTTTATATAGATAAATACTATACCTATTTTATTCTGGATGTTGTACATCGTCAACTTGACTAAAACTTCGAACAATAGCCATTTCATGTTTATAGGTTAGATCCTTCTTAACCAATGGTAAGCAATCAGCCCCGCCCATTACACTAGGACACACACATACAACAGAAGAGTTGAAACTGCCTTGAACGTAATTTGGAACATGTGCATTTTGAAATTTAAAATTGGAACATCGGGTCCATGCACATTTTAATTATGAATCTATCAACTTAGAACTTACCCAAGTCTCAGTCTAAGGTTCGGTTACATAACAAACACATTGTAACAATTTTATCGCTCTTAGAACATCTGCTTAATACTTGTTCCGTTCTCAGAAGTAGGTAATAGTTGCAACCAGTAGTTTCATTCTGTTGGAGCCGATTACGAGTTTCCCTGGTACTACAATGTCCTCTAATAAGAGACTGTACTTGAATTCAACACGTGAGATCGTTCGGATACATTGTTAGAATATACGATATCAAGAAATCGCCTCACACAGTTAATATAACTTTGGGACATAAAATTGTACTTGAACAGTTTCCATAGCCCCAATAGTAAAGTGATCGATAGACTGACAGTTGACCTAGAGATCTCAGTTTTGATTCCCGGGTAGGAAGGAGTAAATAGAGTGTTTTCGATTTTTAAATTTTAACGATTCTTAAAGCACGGAATCTGAATTAGGGATAATGACCAAATTCGCCCGCCTGGTATGTTGATAAAAAGCCTGGTGTTAATCCAGGATATCCCCTATCTACTTACCAAATTTAAAATAAAAACTGAGTTTTGAAAAACTGTATTTTCACATTTTTGATATAAGTAGGATAATGAATTTTCAAGAAATCTGATTGCATTTTCAAATAAAATAACAAGATTTTGAATTGTAAAAGCGTACTTCAGTTATGTAGTAACGGGATTTTGTCGCGCAATTTTTGTGCTTAAGAATTTTTCGTGTGTTTCTTTTATATGTTTTTTGTGAACGAACATTGAATGTGAGCGTTAACAAAAATTGTGTTGGAATGTACATTTATAGTGCAGCCGCCGACTTTTTATGTCCATTATTTCGTTGAACTAAATACTATTGCATTTTAGAGAAAATGTTGTCAACATTATACATATATCAACCTAATGTAGCTTTTCTTCTTTTTAGTTTTAATGTTTTTTTGTCACTTATTCTGGCATATTATTATTACTTCTTATGAGTATTCAAAAGTAAAACAACGCCATCTAGTGAGCTTTAAGAAGGAGGTGACACATTTTTCTTAGGCAATTGTTTTATGACTGCTTGTTTGGCAGTAGTTGGGTAACTGGCTGCTGTGCAACGTATCGGGGTTACGATTTCCGTACGAAACTACAAAATTGTGAGAAAATAATTGTTCCGAAATTCACATGTTAATTTGTATGTTAGTAAACGCGCTCAAGATATGGGAGAAAAACATAGTATGGAACAAAGTTTAAAAAAAAATCTAGTTAACATCTTGTTTTTAAAACAATGTCAATGTCAAGAAAACTATTAATGAAAACTAGGTTCCAAAAAATATTAAATTCAATTAATTTCTTAGTCTCCTATACGTTCATTGGGAGACGTCGTTTGCTATTAAGTGCGCCTTGGCTATTAGCTTGAGTCAAACTTCATTGGATATCGAGTTCCAAGCTATTATAGCTCTGTTAAGCTGTTGAAGCTAAAGTGTACGTTCTACCAACATAAAGTGATCTGCTATTACGAGGTTCTCATATCGAGTTGTGAAGTTTGCACTTAAAATTAGCTGTATTGGATTACGTTGTAGATACAAGTGACCTGGAAAGTTATATCGATATTAGACTTTAAATTCGATTTATTTCTTTAAAATTATATTAGGTATCGGTAATAAAAGTAAGTATAAAGTTGAGAGCCGTGTGGTGATAGCAGAATAGAAAAGGTACAATTTGCCATTATCCCTCTCTCAGTAAGTTTTTTTTTTGAGAAAAGTAAATAATATGTACCTAATCTAATATTTTCTCACGCCCTGAATGGGACGGCAATTGTTTATTATTTCCAATGTAGCTTTTTACTATCATCATTATTTTTAGGCAAGTGTTGTTTTATTCCCCTTTTCTTAGCTAATCTAACAACATAATACAACAACAACTCGTGAAAAGTTTACTTCCCGTTGTCCTCGTAAGCCGAATATACGTTATGGGAGAACGGGAAATAAATTTAATCATGACCCGCTGTCCCCGTATGCCAGAGGGACAGCGAGAAGTGATTAAATAATAAAGGGAGAGGATGGATGAGGGATGTCAGACTCTTAGAGACTTAAAATCTCCCCGTTCTTTCTCTGACTTCGGACTACTATACAATACTCCGTCAATAGAAGTTATAAAACCATCTGAAAGACATTCGACAGGGACACTGATGTAACAAACGTTGATGTTGGTGTAACAAAAATGAATTGTGAAATTGATTGTTGAAAGAGTAACCATGGAGTATCTTGCTCGTTCTTCTCCATTGGAACGAGCAAATCGGTTCACTAGAGGACATATCGATAGACACAAACTTTACGATGTTTGTTTTTTGTTTGACGTTAAAAATTGCTTGTAGTAAGTAGTCTATTTGAATTAAACGATTTGAGTGTTGACAATTTTTAAAACTGCGAACTTACACAAGCAAAGATAAACTATCAAGCGAACAGTTATGGCATACATAACCTTTTATGAAGAGAAGGTCTTGCAGTGGAACATTACAAAGGTGACATAGCAACACACTTATAATTCTGTAAAGAAAACATGTAGGTGTAGTTAAACGCCTACTTCCAGTCAGTTATACGAGTATGTTTTATATACCTTTATTATTCACACAGTTATAATATTCCTTACATTGTTTGTTTGTTATTCCACTTTAAGTTATTTAGCCCCGTACTTTTAAGTGTAAGAGAGCTATGTTTCGCCACGAATGGGATGCTTTGATGAGTGTGATACCACGGATTCAAAGAAAACCAACAAAAAACAGTGTAGTATGATCTGTCCGCTCCCCATGTCACCAATCCTTAAATTGCTGACCCCCAAAGTCGCAACGCGACGCCAAATCTCTCTCAGATCTCATAAAAAACCTTATTACCGCAGATTTTTCGCAAGTGAGCAGTCGGATCACCTGATGCTGTCAGGGCCGCCCATGGACACCCACAACAACGGAGCAGTTACATTTCGTTACGGTGTGGATTAGGGTGTTGGTAATTTAACGATTGGGATTTGGGGAGGGAAGGGATTGGACCTCGAAACCTCGTGAAACGCAGCGCTGTGATGTGGTGGGTGACGGCCTCAGTTGGGCCGACCCATTTGTGTCGAGCATGGCTCTTCCACACTTAGTCTAAACGAAATAATAATAAAATCTGTCTCTAGTAAATAGTAATTAAATCTTCATAAAATTTAACAACATTTATTATGTCAAAGAAGCAATTACATTCAATTTAATAAAGATTTTGACACGATCTTTATAAACGAGGCTTCGAGAACCTAATTCTAGACAGAAACCTAAGCCGGGCTTAATAAAATACCATCATTTATAACTTAGAACTCACCGACACGGCTTAAGTTGCTAGATTAATAACCACCCTAAAATATATTACGTAGATTCTAAAGTCATTTGTCAATTAAATCAATTTGTAATCATTAACCATCTGATACTGCTAGGAGTTCCTAAAGTAATACAAAGTGAGTTCTGATCCAATTTCTGGGTCAGTTAAATACTGATAATTATGTCATTATTTATAACTAAACTAGTTTCTCCCGCGACTCCGTTCGCGTGGAATAGTGACTTCCTGCATATTTTTTCAGTTATTTATTGTAAAAATGAACATAAGTCTAATGCTTAAAAATCTTTTATTAAAATCCGTGGCTGATTAATTTTATATTTTTGAGCTCTAGTGTGCCATGTAAACGGCCTTTAACGATTTATATATTATACATTTATTTTCGAAAAGTAAGTAAGTAAATAGTTTTAGTTATTAGTAAAACAGTACGAGATGTCTCAAAAAGTACAGAAAGAGTCAATGGCACATGTGTATAAAACCTCACCAAAAATCCGAGCAAAGAGTCTCGTATCTTCGCTCTGTAAATAAAGTGTCGGTATCCACATACATGCTGCTCTGTACCTTTTATATAATGTACATACTTCTTGAAGCATTCATTGTAGCAAAGTTGAAAGTATTACCTACTTCAGATTGTTGAACTCTTAATGCTACGCCAGACTTAAAATGTAGTTTGGGATGAAGTGATAAGGTTTAATTTCGAGTAGCAGCTCATTGATTTGTTGGGTTACGTTTAATCTTTATATTTGCTAAATCGATTATAGCTATATAAGTCACAAGAAGACTTAAGAAACGTGTGAGACAAACATTATATTCCTAAATGGAATTTTTGTTTTAATGCCTACATAATGTTGCTAAAAAGAAAATGGTTAAATATCAAAAGTTACCTGTCACAAGGCTTTTCCTGCTCCAAAGACGTGGGTGCCGTATGTCTACTTAGAAATATGGTTTGTGGAAAAAAAATCATTTACGTATTGTAATTCCACAAAATGCTCCTGTTCACGTTAAGAACTAGCTTGTCTATTTGTTACGCATATGCTACGGCTACGATTCGTAGACATTAACTACGGCGTAGTCTATCTATATAACGGAACAACAATTTGTGGATCACACAAAGAGTTGTTCCGTTTGCCAGACTTCGTGGCAAGGTAAATAATGAGACTGTAGATGGTTAAGGTCTGTTTATTACTTTAATTGCTGGTGCTTATATACTAAGAAGATGCGTGAGATTTTCAGATTTAGCTATCCTAACAAACGTGCAACAATTAACATGTATGTCTTATCTCTATCGTATCTAAGTAATGTAGCGACGTGATAGTGCCGCTACATATACTCCCCCCTTTTAAAAATAATTAACATATAAATTGAAAAAAATTAGTATGTACCTAATTATATAATAACTTAACCTTGCTGATAAATTACATCCTATGCGTAATGTAATGTCATTGTTGCTAATTCGAAGGAAATAAAAACTGTTGCCTTTGTTCATGCCATGCATTATTCATGCCATCTTGCTAAATCAGCATAATTAATCGGTGATGGCACATCAATTTGTTCTATCCGTGACAATGCGTCTGCTACAATATTGTCACGTCCTTCTATATGTTGAATGTTGGTACAATATTGTGAAATAAAATCCAGTTGTCGTATTCGCCGTGGCGTATCATTAGATGACGGTTTTTGGGAAAATGCGTAAGTCAAAGGTCGATGATCTGTAAAGATAGTAAATTCTCTTCCTTCGACTAACCTTTGAAAATGTTTGACTGCCATATATATTCCGAGCAACTCTCTGTCGAATGTCGAGTATTTTTGTTGAGTATCACTTAATTTCTTTGAAAAGAATCCTAATGGTTCCCAATTACGTCCTGACTTCTGCTGCAGAACTGCGCCAACACAGGTCGAACTGGCGTCCGTCATAAGTGCCAAAGGGGCGGTGCGAGAGGGGTGAACTGTTAATACTGCGTTCATTATATTTTCCTTGCATTTATCAAAAGCTTTTTCGGCCTCTGTTGTCCAAGAAATTGGAGAATTATCATTCTTTTTAGAGTCGTGCAGGTAGTTGTTTAAGATAGTTTGATATTCAGCGGCATGAGGGAGATTGTTTGCTGCGTCGATTTGATCAGGGTTGCGGGCGTTGTCAGCTCAGTTACCCTATCTATGAGTTTTCGACCAGCTATATCGACTAATAGCTTATAATGCTCTAAAAAATCTGCTCCAATAATCGGTTGTGTTACATCGGCGATGACAAAGTTCCATACAAAGTTTCTTCGTAGCCCGAAGTTTAAAGAGAGTGTTTTTTCACCATATGTCTTAATTTTTGTACCATTGGCGGCATAAAGTATACATTGTTCATCTTGTATTAGTGAATGTCTCTGTGGCTTGCTAATAACTGAAATATTTGCTCCCGTGTCAATCAAAAATCTCATACCACTTTTTCGGTCGGTAATAGTGAGGCGGTTGGACGGGTGAATAGCACAGAGTTCCGCCGTTGTCCGTGCTTCAATTAGTTTCCCTGTTTCCTTGAGTTGAGATCCTGTTTCCAATCACAAGGTTGAACACACTTTTGTGCATATTTTTTAAATCTTCCATGGTAAAAACAAAAGTGCCTTCTTTCTCTTGAACTTGACTGTGGTAGGAAATGCCGACGATTGGAATAACTTTGAGTGCTGCGTCGATAGTTTTTTTGACCTTGCTGAATTGCATTTAGTTCCAATTGCATTTCTGCTAACTGTGCTAGTATGCATGACATTGTATCGTCGCCAGATTTGTTGCCGTTTACAGCTGACACCTCTGTACGTGTTGAATTTATTAATATCTTGTCCGCGATCTGGCTCATCTTGTTCACATCTATGTCTTCTGTGACTGCTAGAACCGAAGTCACTGATGGTGGCAGAAGCCTCAACCATAGAAGTTTGATGGTTTCGTCGCTGATATTTCCGTTACTCAGGGTCCGCATCTTGCGCAGAAGATGTGATGGTTTCTGGTCGCCGAGATCCATTTCAGACAATAATTTTTGGAGCTGACGTTGGTCTGATTCCTCATAGCAACTGATTAGGCGTTCTTTGATAGCCTTGTACTTTTCTATTGGCGGTGGGCAAGTAATGAGGTCACTAACCTGTATTATTTCTTCTTTTGGCAGTTTTGCAATGACCGTATAGTACTTGTAATCGTCTCCTTGCTTCTGTGGTGCTACTATGGCTTCTAGTTGCTTAAACCATAATCTGGGTTGGTCCCTCCAAAATTCCGGTTCCGGCTGATATCTCCAAGGCTTCTTGTTGGCTGCTGCTTGATTTGCAGGGTGAATGAGTCATGTTGATTGTTCTTCGTCGGGTCACCAATTTGCCAGACTTCGTGGCAAGGTAAATAATGAGACTGTAGATGGTTAAGGTCTGTTTATTACTTTAATTGCTGGTGCTTATATACTAAGAAGATGCGTGAGATTTTCAGATTTAGCTATCCTAACAAACGTGCAACAATTAACATGTATGTCTTATCTCTATCGTATCTAAGTAATGTAGCGACGTGATAGTGCCGCTACATTCCGTTTCGGGAATCGAACCCGCACTATCTTCAACGAAATCACTACTATATTATTTGTTGAATTTGTATTTAAATTTTCAAAGTATGTTTTCGTTAAGCATTCTTTTAATTATTTTTTTTCGAGACAATGAATTGCCAATGTTTTGTGTGCCATTGTTGTCACTTGCATTAGGCTATAAATAGTTTCATTAATTTATTTATAATATGTTTTATATCCGTATAATGAAAATTATTATATGAGCATATATCATTAATTAAGGAACTCCAGTTTGGAGAACTTTTAAATTGCTGGTGATGTAAGTAAAACAAGAAACAATAAAAAAATAGAAAAAATATTTCTAGCCAGCAGCATTGCGTTATAGGTTGAGTTCAATAAAATGTCACGAAGCAGGCTGCACGCTCCATTGGCCAAATTTGCAGCCTATCGAGTAACAAAAAGATAAAATGGTTTCAAAAGAGGTTGAAAAATGCTTTTCACAAACCTCCCTCAAACTTTATTACCCTAGCTTGATGAATATGCTGCCTTTATCTAACATCTATTGGGTTAGATTCCCCGTTTATGTAAATAGTTTTTGCTAACAATGATTTCAGTGACGTCAAAAATAAAGTATATTAAAAATTTGTATATCGACAACTATATAGTATCATTCAATACTTTTGTCGCATTGTTAAACTCGACATTGATTGTGAATTTTGTGACGCCATATTTTTGCTGACTTGCTGGCTGCACTGGGATATGTACTTTAATAGAAAAACAAAATGAATAAATGAAAGTTTGATTAAGTATTTTCTAATATCATTTTGGATTGAATATACTTAATAATTAGAATTTATTCATATATGTACATTATATAGCTATTTATTCAGTTGGTAGGTATATACGTATATGTCTTTTTTTGATAAAGTACAAAAACAAAGTAGGCTACACATTAAACTAGGCGGTTAATAATTGTGTAACTTAAAAAAAAAGCAGTTAAGAGAATCCAAGGAAGTCTGCCTTACTTTTCGATTGCGAATTTCAAAATTCTATATGCGAAACATCATACAAAATTCAAAATCAAATCCATTAAATCTAACGGTGTTGTTCTAAAATAATATAATATTAATAGTTCAACAAGTCAGATTAGAAACACAATACATATATACTATGATCCATTGTATTAATCCCTAAGAGGAATCATAGTTTCCAGAATTTAATAATGCCCCAGAGACATTAATTTATCGGGGCTCCTCAACAACCCGTCAGGACTTCGTAATAACTTAATACCTTCGAAACTAACATGCGGACATATTTCTCTTATATACATACATTGTAAATTTAATACGTACATTAAAATATTAAAGTTTGATAGTACAGTTAAAACCACTACTATAGTGTTCATTTCCCTGCAAGCTACGTTGCAATCAGAAAATTGTAAGATTATTTTTTAAGTTGAGGTTGAAAATCCTCTTAATACTAGGGATTTTAAACTCTTTTTTACTAAAAACATCTCTAGTATTTCTGCAACATGAGGCATATAGGATATCCTTTTAATAACAGTTGAAATAAGAACAAAATTTTAAATTTTTGGTATCATAAAGCGGAATTTCTCCTACATAGTACTTATGTGCTTTGCTACACACTCTACTGAGAATTACTAAAAGACATATTATTAACACTAATAACTTTAATCAGTTATCCATATTAGGTACAGTTACTTAGACATCTATCCCATCTCGCACATTAGCCTAAAGATGCGAGAAACACAACATACACCAGTAACCCCGAAAATGTAAAGCCACTCGGAAATAATCCATTTCAAACGTTCGTTACAGTGAAAATCAATGCTATTACTAAAGATTATAGCTCAACTGGAAAAACTCAAGACTCGGTCAAAGCAGTCAGCAAATATTTTTATATTATAGGTACTTATATAACTTTTCTAAGAAATATTGCACGATAAACAGAACGAGATGCGGTGTGTCGTTTGTCGCGTCGAGCAATGCGCAATGCTTATACCTAACTAGTATGAGCCTCTATCGTAACTAGTCAAGTTCCTTAAGAAAGCTGTTAAACTTATGTATTATATAAAAGAATACCCTATTTTTTTTATGGTGTAGGTCGGCAAATGAGCAGACGGATTACCTGATGGTAAGCAATCAGCGCCGCCCATGGACACCCACAACATCAATGGAGTTGTTTTCGAGTGCGTTGCCGGCCTTTTAGGGATAAAGGTATAGGATATTTAAGGATTGTGAAAGGATGGGGGATGGGGAGGGATTGGACCTCCGGTAACCTGACTCACACCGCGAAACACAACACTATGTCACGCCGGTTTTCTGTGAGGCCGTGGTATCACTTCGGTCGAGCCGATCCATTCGCGACGAACCTTGGCTCTCCACTTAAATTATATTTATTTTGCTATAATTATTATTATTCCGTATTTCTATTACTATACCAAAATACAAAACACATCCATCAATACAAAAAACTATTGTTATTTTTAAACCAAAATGAAACCCTTCTCTTGCAGCCCATTTCGTTTGATAAAACTTACATTCCTTTAACGTAAATTTGTAATACTTTGCTTACACTACTGTTAACCCCCGTCAGTCCCTGTTTACTGGCAATATCTTGCTAACATTAGCCCGTACTTAGGTTCATACCCTTCTCCAAATAAGACGCGTTCTCGAACTGAGCGAATTGACTCTTTGGCCGACGTTGATATACGTGGTACATTTTTCACTGAACATCTTAGTCTGGGATATAAATGCTTTACTTTGCTTTAGTATTAGATTTTTGTGTATTTTGTTAACATTAAAGTTGAGTTTATTCTAATATTTGGGTACTAGAAACTAAATAGGTTCTTGTAATAAAATGCGCAACAACTACACAGAAGCATAGATTACGGTGTACATATTACATAACATTTTATCGTAATATATTTATCCCGATATTATTTATTGTTTGTCACGCTCTGCATGCAAATCATTCCGAGTTCCCAGTTCCCTAAACCGAGAGCGAAAAACGCCTGTACGCTATATTACAAGCGAAATTTCTCCCACGAATACCAATAACCTGCATCAAACCACGCGACTCGTAATAACAGAACAGTTTTCAGTTTCAAACGGTAAACTTTAAGCTAAATAATATTTTATTCATGTCACAATGTCCACTGTTCGAAACCAATGAATTTGCATGACGTAGATAACGCGTTTTATTGTCACAGTTAGTAAATAAATTCTCTCCCATACACACATCATGTACAGGGCTCACGTACCACTGGCCCGATGAAAGGTATAATCCAATCAATTATTACGCCGTGCTCCAATTCTGAACCAAAATGCAAAGAGAAAAGATTTTAATTCCACAAAACTCCGCTCGCTTCAAGTGGCGTTTTCGTTTGTTTTTTTTCCTCCGTTTTGTTATTGGCATTGTCGCAGACGAACATTTGTCGCATCATTACGCCGTATTTGTAATCTGGACATTGTTAGATGGCCGATTTGAAGACATGACTGCTCCAAATAACGGTCGAATGATAAAAACGATTGTTTCAATTTGTTACCAAGCAAATGTATTGGAACAACTTGTCCATAAATTTGATAAATATTTTATTAAATTTCGTCAAAAACACGATAAAAATGTGAAGCTTCTAAAAGAATTTCTTATTAAAAATTTCGAAGCTACTTCACTTGAACAAGTCAAGGGGGAATTTATATTTAAAATTAACTTAGCCTCAAGTGTCAAAGTTTAGTGTGCATATTATGAAAAGTTTTACGATAGTGCAAAACAAGACTCTTTTAATCTGTAAAGTGAGTTTAATATTAATTGGTTGTCCAAAGTTTCTTTGTTACGTAAATGTATTTATGAAGATATTCTCACGGGAGGAGTTAGAGGCTATTGTCATCGTACGACGTATCGTTACATTGTACATGTCACTAGGACATCAAAAATGTTGCTCATTCAAATCATGGGAATGCAATACACAAAATATTATTGGATTTCTTTATTTCCAAATTGGGCAGTTTCTTCTATAAAAATAAGCCATGTGTATTTTTCAAAACATACTTAAACATGCTTTAATTATTTATTTCAGCTTCAATGTACAAAAAAAAAAATGTAATAGGTCGGCAAACGAGCAGACGGATTCGCTGATGGTAAGCAATCAGCGCCGCCCATGGACACCGGCAACGGAGGAGTGTGTTGCCGACCTTTTAGAGATTGGGGATTTGGAGATTAGGGATTGAGGAGGGATTGGTGGAGGAGAAGGATTTGGCCTCCGGTAACCTCACTCACACGGCGAAACACAACGCTGTGGTTGTTTCACGCCGGTTTCCTGTGAGGCCATGGTATATATAGCGAATTAATTGCCATGTTGCATTCTCTATCAGTTAACCTTTAGGTCAAGTAGAGAATATATACCTATTTAGTAAATAAACAGAAACAAAGAGAAATATTAATGTAGGTATAACTATTCAAGATACATGCATGAAATATAATTATTGTGATAATACGGTTAAGAAAGCTTTATAAATTTAAACTAATTATACTTTCGTTCATTGACTTAATATTATACTTATTTCTCGTATTTTTCACACTCGACATTAAAACTGGCCATTTCCCGCATTATTATCATTTTCGTAATTTCAAAAAAGGCATTGTTATTGACGAGTTATAACAACTGCATTTAGCTCTCTTTATTCACGTGACCTTATTTCTTGTTTCGTAAGCAATATGTACCACGAAAAAGTTTGTAAAAACAACACAAGTAATATATCTTTCAGCAGTTTTTTCTTCACATTCATCTTACACTCCTTTGTACCCTAATCTTAATTTCACAGAAGTAATTCCTTAAGTTTACCGATAAATAGGAACAAACGACACACGTAACGTGGGTCAACAAGACAGGCATGAAAGATATATTAAGGTGTGCAAACAAAAATATTTGTAAACCTAATTACAGAGAGGAAATGTAGGTAATATTCTGAAAGTTTCCGGATAACTCGGTACGTGCCGACGGAGTGCACGCAACAAAAGGAGTTTTTCAAGGAAATGAGTTAACTTTCACAAGCCACTGGGCTAATTCAACGCCTTACTGCGGCAAGTTATACTTTTTCATCTATGTATATTACGCTGTTCATCATTATATCCCGCGAAAGTAGGTACAATGACTTCGAAACTTTATGCGGTTCGTTTTTCAGAGACTCTCGTGTTATGTGCTCGTTGGAAATTATTCGAAGTGAGTTTTCGGGTTTTTTTATTCTATTCTATAGTTACCATATTTTATAGTTTTGTTTTTCTGTTTTGACGGAACTTGTGACTTACTTATAGCTGGAGGGAAATTGATCTATGAATAACAACTACTTTCTACTTATATTACATGTTTTATAAACGTAAAATTTTGTAAATATGGATAGATAGATACTTGTTACTCTTTGGCACAAAACTACTAAACGGATCTGAATAAAATTTGGTATAGTTTTTTTTTTGTGATGGGAAAATCATCAAATGACTTCTCCCGCCCAGGGCCGGGCGGGAGGTAGTGTCAGACTTTTACTGACCAAAAACCCCCCCTGTTCCTTCTCCTGCTCTGGGCCGAGGTCGCGGTGCCTCATTGCGCTTACCCCGCAACCCGGGCTGAACATAAGCCTTATAGGGCCCCGTCTGAAAATTTGGTATAGTATGGTATATACGTAGGTTTGCAATACCAAGATAAAAAATGGCTTGTATCCGAAGCCACTGGCACACATGGGCTGCTTTTTATCCTGGACTTGCAGGCGAAGCCGCAGGCAGAAACAATTCAGTGAATATTTTTAGTAGGTATAAAGTACTAATTGTTAATTTCATTACACCTCACCTTTTAGTCTGTTAATTCGTTTAAAGGACTTATTCAATGGACCTAAATAGCCCTTCTGAGAAGGCAATGGAAGTAAAAAGCGTCACTACCCTCAACTATATACAGTCGGGAAGTAATTAAGTTTCTGCGGCTTAACTCACGCAAGTTCGAGATTGGGAATGTACTATAAGTTGTCGGAAACTGGGAAACCAACCTTTCTATGGAGATACTGTGCAATTATACTTATAAAGATAACGCACACGTAATAATGGCAAGTATGTATTCGCTTTTTACTAAGCACTGTAATATAAAAATAAGACAGGGGCTCGATCTCAGCGTGATAATGAATGTACTAGATAAATATTTTATTAGGTACTTTAATGACGAAGTATTTCTAAATTTGAATATAATTTAAAAAGAAATAAGTGTAAAAAAATATGCAGTTTGTTTGGGTGTGTGAATTCTCCGTTTTGTGAGATCAAGGCTCCTTAGCTCCTTCTACAAAATAAAGTGAAACCGTTAAAGTTTGACAAAAAAATTGGCCATGACCAAATTAAGTAAAGGTCCCAGAATTGCGGGTGCTAGCGTAATGCGCTTGTTGTGTAGATTCACCCAGGGTGGGAGGGGTAACTTGTTATTTAAAAAAAACCCCTGTGCTATTACAATATTATATTCAACGCAATAATGATTTTTCCCATTTCAAAAAAAAAAACATATTATATTCAACGCAATAATAGTATATATAGTTTTTCTTTTATATACCATCACCCGAATGTCAACCTGCATAGGGTTGCATTTTTTATCTGTGTGCTAACGCGCCAAATAAAAAAAAACTTTTATGTCCATGCTGTGACAGAAAACAGTATTCCGAATAGAGGATCTATTTTAGTTTGAAAGGTTAGTTCTTGTTCAGAATATATTGTTCACATGTGCCCCATGGCTGAATGTTCACAGAAAACTCATCACTTAAATAAACCACACTAGAGTTTATATTTCAGTACCTACCTGAATATTAATTGTCCCTACTACCTCAATAACTGCATACTTTTCATAGAAGTAAATTAAGTTTTTTCTAAAATTTATACTTAAAGTCCCGTTAAATATGGTTGGCTCTAGGTATTATCAGATGTTAGAAATAATTCCAGTGGAGATATTTCAATTCATGATCTGTAGGTATTTTAATACAGCTTATCATTTTCTTAACTAGCTGGCCGGGCGAACTCCGGTACCCCTTTAAAATATGCTGATAGAAGTAATGAAAATTTTATTCCTTGACATTTTTTTATTTCTTATGTAATTCATACTCAGAGATCGATTTGTATTGAAAAGTTTTGAAAAGAAAATTGAAAATTGACGTGTTTAGTATTTTAGTAGTGGTTTTCATTCCAAGATTAAAATTATTCAAATTGGTTTTGCCGTTCTCGAGGATTAGCGAGACTAAAGAATAGCTATTATGTACGTTTCATTTATAAGAGATTATAAATATTCTCCCTGATAAAAAATGCAGGAAAACATTTTTTTATTTAGATAAATGTCATTTTACGGCCTTAGTAAAATACATATTCATAAAGTTATAGAGAAGCTACTAACAAGCTACGTAATGCATTCTCAAGATTTATGCACCTTACAATTCTTAAGAGCTTGACTGGAAGAGGTAAAACTTGAAGGTAAATAGAACAACATAGCAAGTCTTATCAACAAGAAATTGCTTCCAGCTAAATCGTTGGACATTAGATTTATTTATTGAATAGATACTTATATTAAAGACGTTGTAATATTGTTAAAAATACAGCAATGTAAAAGATAACGCAACATTGAAAAAGTGCGTGTACATTAACTACTTTAAAAAAAAAGGAGTGAAAAACATGTATATTAATTAGTCATTCAATAGATAGAATTGCGC